GGGGGGGTTTTTTTTTTTTTTTTTTTTTTTTTCTCTTTTAAATCTTGTTAGGATCAGAATCGCAAAATATCATTTTCCCTTCACTGAGAACAACAGTATGCAAATAACATGCCACAAACTCAAAGGCCACAACTACCTTCAGAGTTCACAATCTGTGATGATGTTCATGTACGCACAGGTAAAGCATCTTAACCCAAACTCAAGGTTCCACAAGAACAATCAAGTTATGAGCTAGTTAATCAACTCCATGAGCACTAAGATTAGAGATAATTTTCTCCTACTTTCAACTATCAAAGAGATTTGGGATGCTGCTCAAGACACTGCCTCTAATCAAGAAAATGTTGTTGAACCCCTCCAATCGAGCCAACTCATTTGTCTCATTTCTTGAGTTAACTTTTCATTCAACGGCAAACGTTGGGTGTCATGAATACCCTTAGTTACAAAATTAACTGTATAAGGAGTATCTCTTTTTTAGAAATATTTCTTAGCATTACACTCCATAGGACTTTAAAAGAACTGGTTGATTTCGAATTTACCGATGAATGTTATGAAAATAAGAAATTAACTTAGAATGGGGTTTTCATTAAAAATAACCAAGTAAATGAGAATAATCGTCAACAAAGGTAAAAAAAAATACTGAAACCCTCTATGACTCAATAAGAGCACTAGCTCATGTATTGAATCTTGGATACAAACTCATATGTTAAAACTTAGCAAACTAACATGACACAATCTAACGAAACTAAAAACGACTATTTACCAAAAACATATGATCCTTTGTTGAGCGGACCATACCGCAGACAAATCCGTTTTTTTTCATTCACAAATCATAAAATTGAGGACAAGAGTCTTCAATATTGAGATAGACAAATGACCCAAATGGAAATATTCTTCGAAGGAAGGAGGCACTTAGAGCATGTGATGGCGGCTAAATGGACACTCTAGAGCATATGATGGCTATAGATACTTGTGGTTTAAAGATGGAGAGACCTTCAAATTCACGCCCACTACCAATAGTCTTCTTCGTTGTAAGATCCTAAACTAAGCATTAAGCAATGACCAGGAATGAATAAGATGCAAGAATTAAGATTGCAAGCGAATTTACTAATAGAGATCAAAAGATAACTGTGGTAAATTTAAACCAAACGACAATGAAATTGATTTGGTAAGATTCATTGCGTCAGACCCAAACTGGAGATGTAGTTTTTTCATCTATGGTAACATTAGGTGAAAAGGTAGACAAAAAAATTTTAAAAAAGGAATAAATTGGGATTGCCTGTCATATGATTGGTAGCACCAAAGTCAATGGCTCATTTCAAAGTGGAGGAAGAAGGCATATAGAAGCGTTAGTCTTTGCGATAGCAGTAACTGGAGTAGAATATAATGTCAATAATGACACTTGATATGGTTGAAATTGCAAACTCCTCTGCAGAAATCGTAATGAAATTTTCGAAGTTATCAGGAGTAGATGCACAGATACAACATGTGTAGACAGAAATCTCTGACCCAAACTCCAAAATCTAAGGTTCACAAAACCATAGGTTAACAAAAAAAAAAAAAAAAAAAAAAAAAAAAAAAAAAAAAAAAAAAAAAAAAAAAAAAAATCCCTAGGTTAACAAAAAAAAATCCAATTAACCTGGCTCTCTATTGCCATGTAAATGCTAAAGGTTTGAGAGAATCAGAATACTCTATTCCATTCACTATATATATACATATAGATAGAAACACACAAGTAAGGGAAGGTAAAAAGACAATAAAAGACAACATTACTAAGGGAAGAGGAAATTCCGTCCAGGGGAACTACTTAACAAGCGGTTTCCAATAGCTGATAAAAGAACTTTGAATGTAAAGAGGCCCATCAAGAACCGTAAAGAATACAAAAAGAATCAAAATTAGGAAACTTATCTTGAAAATATAGATTTCGAGCCAAATCTACCACAAAGGATCTATCATAGCATAGCAACCCAAAATCCTAGCTTTGCTTGACAAATTCAAAGCACTTATGCCTTCCACAAGCCAATCATCAAGGCTTCTAAATGCCAAAGCACTGAGAAAGAGCCCAAGACTTAAAACCTTTTTTCTCAATCATCTCGTCAGTATCAAGGCTTCTAAATGCCAAAGGACCGAAAAGTTCTACTTTCTGCGTCCATTCTCCAAACCAACGCGGTCAAGGGGATTTTACCTTTCTAGTATTTTTAGCAACGCATATGCAGGCTGACTTCAAAGAATAACAACCTTAGCCCTCAAGGGGCCAAAAGGCTCGATCAGGCCCTCCAACTCACTGAACCGAAGTCAAATTTTCTATTATCACCCCAACTATTTAGTTCCCTGTCAAAGAGACCCCATGTGTGGCCCAAATTCCAACTTTTTTGTTGTTGTCCCAACACTCAGAAATAGAAGCACCTTTTTTGCTAGAAATCACAGAAAAATCTGGAAAGCAATTCTGTAATGTATCTTGGTCAACCAAACTATCTTCCAAAAATGGATTTGAACACCTGCATCAACTTTAAATTAAGTAAAAAAAAAACAAAGAGCAGCAAACTTTTGGCAACGTCGACCGAAGATCTGCTACCTTTCTCTTCTCATCATTCAACTGTGAGTATTAGCTCCATAAATGTAGGGATTACCTGTTGAACACAACTCTTTGTGAGAAACATTCACACTCTTTATTAAGACCAATCGAGAAGAGAATACAAGACACTCTTTAGAATACTACTGCTTTTTATTGTTTTTGGATTTCTTGGATGAATAACCTAGGTAGGGTGGAGGGGTATTTATACTAGAGCCTACACAATCTAGACCTAACAAATCTGAATCTTTTTCCTAAAATATCTAGATCTCTTTCTCCTAGAACCACTAGGTATCTTTCCTAAAATCTCTACTAAAATAAATATACAATGGGCTCGTACAATTATTGGGCTTGACTTTATTGGGCTAGTGATGATATTTCAACACTCCCCCTCAACTCATTCGCTACACCATGTTGAGCTGACAGTGAAAACTCTAATGTTCGTCAGTATTCAGCCCTTTTGTAAACAAATCAGCCACTTGGTCATCTGTCTTGATCTGCTACATCTCGATTTCTTCCTTCAAGACTTTCTCTCTAATGAAATGGTAGTGTACCTCCACATGCTTTGTTCTAGCATAAAACACCGAATTTTCTGCTAAGCGAATCGCAGATTGATTGTTGCAATGAAGTAGTATTGGATACTCAATTTTCTGGTGTCAATCTTCCATCAAAAGTTTTAACCATGTATTTTCCTGAGTTGCTCCAGTTGCTACTCTGTACTCTGCTTCTTTAGTTGACAATGATATTGTTGGTTGTCTTTTGTTACACCAAAAAATTGTTCTATTACCGAGCTTGAACACATACCCAGTGATTGATCTTCGGGTATCGTGGTCTCCTGCATAGTCGACATCACTATATCCAGCTAGCTTTCAGTCTTCGCTTCTTTTGTATAAACGATCGTAATTGATTGTACCTTTGGCAAATCTCAAGGTCCGTCGAGCCGCATCCAAATGAGGCTTCTTCGGATTTTGCATATATTGATCAATGACTCCAACTTCATTTTCGAATTTCTTTGGTTGGTCCATGTAGAACTCTCTGTTTAACTCTCCATGCAAGAAAGCATTATTCATATCCATCTGCCATAATTTCCAATCTTTATTTACCGTAAGTACTGGAGGAACTTGTACGATAATGATCTTTGCCACTGGACTAAACGTTTCATCATAGTCTAGTTCATATTCTTGAGAGAACCCTGAATCTATAGTCCGAACTTTGTATCTCACGATTGATCCATCCGGGGCACACATTATTTCGTAAGCCCACTTGCAAGAGATGAGTTTGGTATCTCTTGATCTTGGCACTAATTCCCAAGTTTGATTTTGTTTCAGGGCTGTAGTTTCTTCCTCCATCGCTTTCTGCCAAGCTAAGTTTGGTGAAGCTTCTTCACATGTCTCCGGCTCATTAACTTTGTCTTCTACTGCGTTGGCATACTCTGGATTTGCCTTTAGGATTATTTCTGAATGTTTGAGTTGTTAAGGTGTCATTTCATTTTCACTGAGCTCGCTTGGTTGAGTCACTTCTTACTCACCAACACTAGTGTCACTTGAATCTTTAGGCACATCAGCACTTAAGCAAATGTGTACAATTTGCTCCCCCGTCTTCTGAGGAAGAATCTCTTCAGTTTGCTCCCCTGTGTTCTGTAGAAGAATTTCTTCCGTTTGCTCCCCTGTGTTCTATAGAAGAATTTCTTCCGTTTGCTCCCCTGTGTTCTGTAGAAGAATTTCTTCAGTTTGTTCCCCAGTGTTCTGTAGAAGAATTTCTTCAGTTTGCTCAAGGCCTGGTAATACTTCTTTCTCTAAGGGTCACCCCTCTTCCATTGCACCGCTTTGATCGTCAATCATGTGGTTTAAGCATCTTGAATCAATGATCCAGTCATCCTCGTAATTGATGTCTTTCTATCATTGCCATAAGTGCTAGCTCATCTTCTACTATTGGACATAGTACCTCTGCATCCCATTCATCCTGTATCTTCTTTTTGGATATCGCCACATTGCTTTCAACCGACTTTTTCCTGGACCAACAATCTCTAGACATGTGGCCCTTTTTCCCACAATTATAGCAAACACCTCAAAATCTCTTTCCTTGGAAACTCTGGTTGTCGTTCTTCTGAGCTCTCTCAGGTTGTGCAGTTCCTTGGTGGCTTCTTCTTTTGTCACCATTGTATCCACGTTTGGTGGACGGCCTATTATTGCTCCGACTTTCACTTGTGTAGAGTGTTTCTTCTTCACCCTTCAATGTGATGCCTCCCATTTGTTTAGCCATGGCTTCTTGATTGGCTAACAAATTTTCAAACTCTAGAAGTGATGGTTGAGTGGGCCATCCTTGTACAACAATAATAAAGCTTCTATATTCTGGTCGCAATTCATGGATTATAATCCTCTTCATTCGAGATTCTACAATAACAAATTTCGGGTCTAGTTCAATAATCTCCCGACAGATCGATTTGACCTTGTGGAAGTACTGAGCAATCGTCATGTCACGTTGTGAAATTGACAACAACTCATTCTCCAGAAGTTGTAGCCTTGTATCGTTCTTCTTTGAGAACAACATCACGAACGTGTCCCATGCTTCTTTCAGTGTCTTGTCATCCCAAATATGTTCTAACATCTCTTCTCCGATTGTGGTCTTCAAGGCAAACATTGTTTTGCTTGCTTTGATTCTCCATTTGCGCAAGGCGCCGTTAGAATCCTCCTCTGGCAGTGTAGTTTCACACCTGCCAACGATCTCCCAAAGACCCTGTCCTTGTAAATAGGACATCATGCAAGTTGCCCACGTGTTGTAGTTATTGTTGAGTTTCTTGATTCCTCAAACGATTTGGAAATCACCCATCGTGTTGGCCATAGCTCAGTAATACCAAACAAGCTCTTTCGACACAAGACTTGCAGAGTCACAGACTACTCACGACACAAAAGAAACTCACTATTAATCTCAAGAAATCATTTCTAATGTGAAAGATCAGACAAAACTGCAACCACAGAGCATACTAAGAATTCTAAAAGATCAGATAACCTACACTAATCTTGCTCTGATACCAATTGTAACAGCCCAGATCCACCGCTAGCAGATATTGTCCTCTTTGGACTTTCCCTTTCAGGCTTCCCCTCAAGGCTTTAAAACGCGTCTGCTAGGGTAAGGTTTCTATACCCTTATAAATGGTGGTTTGTTCTCCTCCCCAACCAATGTGGGACATCAAAATCCACCCCCCTTCGGGGCTAGCTCTCATGGTATGATATTGTCCACTTTGCGCATAAGCTCTCATGGCTTTGCTTTGGGCTTCCTCAAAAGGCCTCATACCAAATGGAGATAGTATTCCCCACTTATAAACCCATGATCTTCCACTAAATTAACCAATGTGGGACACACTCCCAATAATCTTCAACAATCCTCCCCTCAAACAAAGTACACTATAAGCCTCCTCTGAGGCTTATGGAGCTCTCGAATAGCCTCCCCTTAATTGAGGCTCGACTCCTTTCTCGGGAGCACTAGAACAAAGTACACCCTTTGGTCGACACTTTAGTCACTTTTGACTATACCTTCGAGACCCACAATTCTTTGTTCGATATTTGAGGATTCTATTGACACAGTTAAGTTTAGGACATGGCTCTGATACCAATTGTTGAACACAACTCCTTGTGGGAAACACTCGCACTCTTTATTAAGACCAATCGAGAAGAAAATACAAGACACTCTTTAGAATACTACTGCTTTTTATTGTTTTTGGATTTCTTGGATGAATAACCTAAGTAGGGTGGAGGGGTATTTATACTAGAGCCTACGCAATCTCTATACCTAACAAATCTGAATCTATTTCCTAAAATATCTAGATCTCTTTCTCCTAGAATCTCTAGATATCTTTCCTAAAATCTCTACTAAAATAAATATACAATGTGCTCGTACAATTATAGGGCTTGACTCTATTGGGCTAGTGATGATATTTCAACATTACCTTCTTCCAGAGGGGATTTTCTTCTTGCATGAATCTCCAGAGCCACTAGCAAAGACATATTTCGACAATATAGCGAGCCCACACCCAACACCCCAATCAATGCGGGAAAGTATTCCATTCCACATAAAGGCTCAACCATGTCATCAGTGTTCTGGAGATGCGACATATTGACCATAGCTTCCTCAACTTGGAAAGCTTTTAAGATTCTGCTTTCCTGACAATCATGCAACACTCAGCTGAGAGCTGAGAGCCTCCCTGATGATAGAAAGAGAGAGGGAGGGGGGGCAAAGGATGGCCTTGCCTCAAACCTCTTACCGCTGAAATCTTTCCCCTAGGCTCACCATTAATCAAAACAGAGAAATTTTCAGTAGAAACCACCTCTTATCCGTTTTCTCCACAAGCTATCAAAGCCTTTTAGCTTCAGAACAACATCAAGGAAGTGCCAATCGACTTTGTCCTAAGCCTTTTCAAGGTCCAACTTCAAAACATACCCCTATTATTACTTAACGTCCAAATCTTCAACCACTTCTGAAGCTACAAGAATGGCATCTAGGATACCCACTGCAAAGGTTGTTTGACAATCGCTTATGGTGGAAGGGAGAACCTTCTTCAACCTCTAAGCAAGAGCTTTGGCAATAATTTTATAAAGAGAAGAAATCAGACTGATCGGACAATAAATAACTAACTTTGGAGGCTTTCCACAGAAGAATCTTTTTTGAATTGAACCTCAAGTAATTCTTTAACTCTTCCCCTCCCCATTAGTTCTACAGTAATAGATTGTGCTTCCTTACTCTATCACATTACAGTTTTAAAAGAAAAGCAAAGCCCAAAAGATGTCTTTATTGAATTAGAATAGGTTCATATTTTGTGTTATTTTAACACAAACATGCTACCATTAATTGTAAAAGGAATCACATAGTAAAAAATAATCCTAAACCTTTTTTTTCTATTGATAGGAAACAGAAAATATCATTAATATCTAAACCTTGAAACTACAATCATCAATAGTGTCGTATGGTTCAGCAGTACAAAGTGGGGTTTCTTACTGAATTATTTTGCCAATTTTCTTGAACTCCACTCCTGGTGCGCATATGGATATTGCTTTATCTAAGCATTCTTTAGTCACCTAAAGCAGTTATTGGAGAAAAAAATAACAACTTATGCACACGAATCTTTGGAACAACTTATGCACAATTCAACTAATCTTATGAAACAACCATTCAAACCTACAATATTTGGTAATCTTGAGCAGGATTTTAATATCGTAAACCATATTTCCCATCATTTGGAACGTAAAACAAAGAAATTTGCCCAAAGGGTCTTGTCTTGCAATATGGTGGCCAGATGAAGCGAACTACCCAGTTAGAATCAAAGACACTCAGCATTTCAGCCCAAACATAGTCATGAAATTAAACAACTTATGGCACGTCAAACAGAAACCAGCGGTTGGAAATTTTCAGAATATAAAAAAACGATGAATGCAACCACATGAAGTCGGTACAGAAGAAATCACATTACCCATGGTGGACAGCATCTACACATTAAAACATATCATACTTGACTTTAACCAAACTTAACAGGGTAATTTCGAAGTTCTATTATTTTCAGAAATTACTGTCCTATCATCCTAGCTCAGTATCACAAATCCTTCAATCCAAAAGGAGAAAAAAACATGTAGTACCTATGTTGAAGGTAGGAGAAGTTTCAATTTTACAATACTCACGCTTATATGAAGTAAAGTCAGATTGGATCTTGCCGGACAAGAATTTAAGCCAAATAAATTATAAAGTTCTAGACCGGTCCTTGTAGGAAACCAACCAACTTTTTCCATTGAAATATTAACAATATATATATATAACTAGTGACGTATCAAAAGACAACAAGAACAACATAGCTATATCTAATTGTAATAGCTACTCATTAACAAAAGTAGAAAGAAAAAGCTACCCGGACAAGTTTTCTGGCTTCATCATCAACATCTCCACAAAAGAAAGTTGTTGAAGTATCACCATGGTACCCCTACAAATTAGCAGGATAGAAGACATAGTTTTAATAGCTACAAATTTTTATTTCATTGAATAACACCAAAAAAAATTATTAATGCTTCATTTGATAGATTCCCCACCTTTCTAGATGAGGTTTACATACCAATCTCCGGTGTAATGTGTGAAAACAAGTGTATGAATACCAGCTCACGAGACATTTCACAATGGCCACCCATTAAACTAAACAATATATAATCATCATAAGCTATGGAACATCAAGATAGCTTTGAAATCCTAGCAGTAAGGTTATTTCTTTAGATGCTCAAGTCTAAATGACCAATCATCTTCAAGAAAAATAAAATGAAAGATCAGAGACAATTTCATGGACACAAATACGTTGGACTCGCTAGCTAATTGCTTTCCTAAACAATGGTCCAACCCAATAATATCTTTTAAGTCTTTATATCAGATCCTTATTAATGAGCTCATATGTATAGATAGCATTAAGACTTTTTACCTCTTTTTTCTGTCATTATAACGTCGCTGGAGTGTATGGCAGTATGTTCTCTTTTACTTTGTATGAAATAATAATATACTAGAACCTGACCAAAGGTTGTCCTCATGAAACTTACTTCTTCCTTCAAGAAATCAAATCTCCAACAAAAGTCTCAAGGGTCTCGCACCTCAGTACAGCCCATGCATACCCCTCAAAATTTGTTGCTCTATCAACATTTTATTTTTGTACTCATTTTGTTCAACTGCTCAAATACGTTTACTTCAGCTCCTGAGTTCGTCATCAACTGACCTTTTGGGATCAATTGGTATGGTTCATTGGTTCAATTGGCTCAATCGCCTTGAATAACTTGCTTTGCTCAATTGGTTCTTTGGTTCTGGTTGGTTTGCTCCTTTATTGCTCCATGTGTTCAATTGGTATCATCAGTTTTCTTTTTAAAAGAAAAAAACACTTCTCGAAAAAGCTCATGGCATGCACATTGCTTCTTGGGTGTGCCCCCTAGGTGCCCTCACCCAACATATTTATTTTTGTAGTTTTCCAATTTCCTTATAAAAAAATTTAAAAGTATTCTCCAAAATCCTCTTTTTCTCTAAACAATATCTTTGTTGGGCTCATGCAAGCAAATAGTTCCTTGTATAGCAATTTTCTTTTCTGCCCATTTACAATTACAGTTTTTTTATATCCATGTGTTCAAGCTAGCATACAAGCACCTCAGCTAATCTCATAACAGATATTTAAAATCCTATACATTTGATTACCAAACAACTCATAGAACTTTAATGTCCTCGGTAGAAAGCTACCATCAAGTTTGGATCATTTTTTTACGGTAACTTTTAGAGTGTATAAATTGGGTTGTAGTCCATTTACTTTGTAAGAAGAAATAATGTATTCACACCGCAGAATACATGAAAATGAAAGTACAAAGTACAGTTAGAATCTCACAAAAACTCCACAGTTGGCATGTATGGTGGGTAATGAGTTGTTGTCACCCTCCTTAGCAAATTTAAACTTAGCCTTTTGCCTCTAGCTAATAGTCTAACTTTTAGTGACCTTTCAAACTCAACTTTCAGAGACAACATTTCCTCCCTTTGCTCAAAGCATAGGGAACCAACCTCTTCCAGTCTATTCAGCATGTTAATGCGATTTAGTAATCCTGTTTCTTGATCTTCAAGTCTCCAAATACTTCAGGATTCAAAATTTTAAGTGACTTCTTCAAACAACAAGCTTACCCACAAAACGATAACCTTCCCATCTTCCTAGAGCCTCCACTGCCCACCAGAGGGGTAAAGAGGTTCCGAGAGTGGGATGAGACAGCCACATATTTTCAAATCTAAAGGGGGTTGGACCACACTTCCCTTTAAAAATATTATTGTTCCTCCACATATCAATTCTTTGCTCAACTTTATGTAATACCATTTTCTAAAAGGAGAGAACCTTAAGCATTGCCCCAAGAGCATGCTGGGTAGATTAATGGGAGAACAGCTATTTTGCAGTTCCAAATATGTAACTATGGACATATCCGTATATGCAGTGTTCAACAACCACATACTTTGGAAGGTTAATTTTGAAGTTAGCTTTTAAAGGTTAATTTTAAGTCCCATGGACATATGCATGCATGGTGTTCACCATAGACTTTGATAGGTTAATTGTGAGACCCAAGGTAGCTTTTAAGGTTTCAATGAGAAGGATTAGATTTTTATCTCAAGCCATCAAAAGGAGACATGAAAAGACCATCAGATCTATTGAAGGAATCATCTTGACTTAAGGAATATTTGTGTAATTCCTAATCTTAAATTAGGAGATATTTGTGTAACCTCATTAAATAAGGGAAAAATTTGACCTCGAAGGATTAGCCTTAAGTTAAAGATATCTATGTAATTTATACGTTAGTATCCAAGCTGAGAATGAATGATACATATTACTTAGGGGGAGTGTCAAAGGATATTGGTGTAATCCCATCAAATAAGGAAGTAGTTGGATTATTTAGATTTATTGTTACCCAACAGAGATTTATTTGATTTATCTTATCTTGTTAGCTATTATCTAGGGATTTATTTAGATTACCTAATATCTAGAGAATTTAGATCTATCAATTTAGATTTAGTCGGTCTTTCCTTATTAAAGATATATGTAATTCTTTGAAAATAAATAAGAAAAACAATAGTCTAATATAGACTTGAAACACTCTCCATTGTTACCTAGAATCTAAAGATTTATTTAGATCTATTGTTACTTGAGATTTATTTAAATTTTATTATTATTATTAGGGGTGTGAGAACCTGTCTGGTGGGCCCATGCTTGCACGTGTGGTGATGTGTAGAGAAGTACTACACACCCAACCTTGCCCAAACTGGAAAGCTGCCGAAAGCCACGCTATCTTATGTTAAAAGGATAGGTCCCACCATATTGCATGTGTTTGCATTTTCCTACTCCCAATAGTGGGGTTACTTACCAAATATTTCAGGTAAAGTGTATGATGACAACAACGGTCGTGATGAAGACCATGGAACTAGTGTTAAGGTAGTTGCATTTTGTCTATTTTGTAGCCCTTAGGTTATACCAAAACATTGTTTTATACTTTTCCATAGTTTTATTTAAATTTTCACATTACTTCTTTTCTATTGTTTTGTTTTAAAGCTTTTATTGCGAACATTTATGTCCATGACATCGTTTTTGAAATATTTTAAATGAACGGTTTCATACTTAAGAGTCAGGTCATGCATGTAGTGGCGGCTCTATTTCAATAGAAAAATAAGGTCGTTACATGTCGAAGGCAGGCATGCATCGCAGAGGAGTCCAAATCAAAACAAAAGGGAGCAGTTGTGGAAACTAGTGGATTTAATAATGAAGAGTTGAAAGATTGAAGATGTTCTTGGACTCGCTCAACAAACCATCAAATTCCAATACCTTAACTATCTCAAGTAAGTCCTGATTCAATTTTTGTATAAACCTTTAGAGATAAGTTAACCAAGTAACCGAAAAATTACCGTCGCAAATGAAACCCATCCTAGGAATAGACTGTTGAACACAACTCTCTGTAGGAAACACTCGCACTCTTTATTAAGACCAATCGAGAAGAGAATACAAGACACTGTGTAGAATACTTTAGAATACTTTTTGGATTTCTTGGATGAATAACCTAGGTAGGGTGGAGGTGTATTTATACTAGAGCCTACAAATCTAAACCTAACAAATCTAAATCTAAATTTAACAAATCTGAATCTTTTTCCTAAAATATATAGATCTCTTCTCCTAAAATCAGATATCTTTCCTAAAATCTCTACTAAAATAAATATACGGGCTCGTACAATTATTGGGCTAGTGATGATATTTCAACATAGACAATGTATTCATTTCTCAAACTCTTATACTAGAACCCATCTTACATGTTCTAAAACTATCTAGTAGTCTCCTTTCCACACAAAAGCTTACCCATGAAAACCACTATAGTGTTATTTTCTCCTAATCATATTGTGTTTTTCAAGACCAAAATTCAAGACGAATGATTGGACTCGCTAAAGAATTGAATGGCTTATACA